GCAGAAAGGAAGTTGAGGGCCTGCTCCCAAAGGTGAGCACAAGAGGTGCTCTTACAGCCCTTTGTCTGTTCTTGTCTCATGGCCACAGCCAGTTCTGCCTGGTAGTGGAGACATCCATTCAAACAGTAATTGATCAGTCCCTCTACCAGACTACATACAAACTCCTGGGGGACAGGAAGACATGCGCTATTCATCCTGGGACACTATCCTCCTCCCATTAAGCTCGCTGAGCTTTCCATGTTGAAGTTGCTTAGAAAATAATTAATGGAAAAATAACCACATAAAAACACTGCTACAGAGATATTCAAGTCTCAGGGAAAAAATATGTATGTACGTGTATATATATATATATATATATATATATATATCTGTATGAGTGTAATTTTTAAAATGTGCTTGTTTTTCAAAATGAAAATGTTAAATCATGATAAAACTTCAAGAATTCTTGCAAAGAACAAAAAAGAAATGAAATGCCAAAAATAAATATTTGGAAGTGCCTACTAATCCAGTAAGTAGAAAAGGTTCGCTGTGTATTTAATTGAATATGTGGGCCAAGAAAGTGTTGCCACAGCTTTCTTTTATCATCAAGAACATAAATAAGTATGCTTTAAAATGATTCCTGTTCTTTACCCCTTCCACCTCCAATGAGGTAAAGAATTTAAAATTGCAAAGGAAAAAAAAAAAGAGCTAAATGTGCTATTTTCACACACGTAGTTTTGAAATAGAAAATACTCAGAAACATACCGGCACATACATAGCAGAATTCATAATAAAGTTGTGAGAAACCTTCTCATCTAGGGACATATTTCCTAGAAGATAGCAATGGCTCCTGAAATTGCTCCCTGATGCCTTCCTTCAAAGACTTTAGGAATCTGTAAGTAGTGAATGTGTGTGCACATGAGTGTATGTTCACCAAGAAAGAAAAAGTGAAAGAAATTTGTTGAAAAAAGTTGCTGCTAAGGAGTTAGGTCTGCATTCTTTTTTGTTTACTTTATGAATGTGATTGGTTTTCATCTTCAAAGTATGTGACTTTTGAAGTATCTGTTTTTGGGGCAGACTCCTTTCCAGCTGCGGCCCAGAGTATGCCTGTCATTAGCTCAGTTGCTCAGTCACTGTCTCCATTTATAGTTGGGTTTGTAAAGTGTTTAAAATAGGAACTCTGGGTTTCTGCTGATCTTGAGTCATCAAAGAAAAGAAAAGCTTTATTCCTTCTTATATTCAGTTCCATCCATGTGGACAATTTTTTTTTTTTACATTTATCAAGTTTAGTTTTTATTTCTCAGGAACTTTTAACAAATTATAATAAAATGATAGATTTGTTAATTGCTTAGTAGAGGGTGTAACACAGTAAACTTTTAAGCTGTAATTATTATAGTTAACAATAATAATAACAATTATTATTATCATCATCTTTCAAAAATACTCCATCAGTGATTTTGCACAATTCTGTACACCTAAACACTGATAAACACTTTTAAAACAATGCTTTTATCAAAATTTCATAGCACAGTAGCATCATTTTTTTAAAGCCTTGATTGAACTCTTTATTTGATAAATTATCTCTGTTTCATTAGTTGTTTTGTCAGGTTTTTTTTTCCTTGTTCTTTCCTTTGAAACAAATTCCTCTGCCTTCTCATTTTGCTTAACTTTCTCTGTCTCAATGAAATTTGATGAAACAGTTACCCATCCCGGTCTTGAAGAGGTGTCCTTGTGTGAGACCATCCCTATACAGTCTACCCAGTGGCTTTGGTGGGAGAACTGTATCTGAAGTGAGCACCGAGTTACATCTTTCCCCAGGGTATGCTGGCAGCTATCACCTTGGTAGGAGGCGGGGCTGGAGATGGAGGGGCTAGGGCCAGAGCCAGGTGTGAGCCAGGGCTTCTCTTCTGTTCAGTGGCCAGTACCACGCTAATGGGGGGAAGAGTCAGTCCCCAATGTGGACATTTTTTAAGACCGACATGGTTGACTAGAAAAATCTAACCTTACTTTTTTTTTTTTTAGGTTCAAACTGACTCTTCCATACTCTCTGCTACAGAATGTCAGGGTCTTACTGAGCATTTATTTAGGAATTTCTTCAGGGTATATATTTTAACAAACCACTTAATGTGGAAACTGCATCTTCTGTTGGGTACTATTGGGACGACCTTCATACAGAAGGGAAAGGCTACTCGACCAAGACAAGAATACTCAATGATGCTTAAATTACAAAAGGAAATGGCAGGTTTGCTCCCTCAGAGGCTACCAAAAAAGGAAAAAAAGATAACTCTATTCAACAGCTTTCTGTAACTTAACAGAAAACTAAATCTAGAATTACAAAATCTCTAGGAAACTACAATTGAGACAAATCACAAATATGACAGAAAAAGATAGCTGTCACAGTCAGATCCCAATGAAAATGAGAGCACACAGAAACTAGTCCCTTTCCAGGAGCTGAGTTATAAATGCATTGTGTACATAGGTCCACTTGGGGATAGAGAAGCCATTAGGGACAAAGTGATAATCTGGGGCTAGCAGAGTCAGAACTGTCATCTCCCTAGGTTCAAGAGGACCAAGGGGGAGAGCAGTGATTTAAATAGGAGGAGAGAGTGTGGTAGAAGAGAGATCCTAGAAGGGACCAGTGACCCTCCTTGCCTGACAGCTGGGAACTTCACAATCAGGTTCCCAGAAGACATGTGGCTCAAGAGTTTACTGGTGTCTCTCAGCAGGGGCACTGTTGGCATCTTGGGTTTGACAATGATGTGTTTTTGCCTTTTAACCATTCAATGAAAATAGAATCCCCTAATCACTGTGACAGTAAAAAACATTGCCACACATTTCTAAACTCTCCCTGGTCGCTAGGTGATTTCCTCTCCAGTTGAGAACCGCTCTACAGAGAATTCCCTGGCAGTCCACTGATTAGAATTCCACGCTTCCACTGAAGGGGGCATCAGTTTGATCCCTTAGTTCCAGAATACCTGGTCCAGGAACTAAGATCAGGCAAGCAGCATGGCATGGCCAAAAAAAAAAAAAAAGAGAGAACTACTATATTTTAACCAAACATCCCTGAAATGTTTTAATCTTTATCTCTGGATCAACCTAGATCACCAGAAAGCTATTCCCAGAAAGCCATATGTCTAAATCAGTGTACTTGTATGTTTTGGTGGGGACAGGATAGCTGTACTATCTCCAGCCCCACATCCACATCCCAGGCAGGAAGGAGGAAAAGGGAAAAGTAGGAAGGGATCATGCTGTGTCAGGAGAGCTCTAGCTTTTCCAGAAATGCTTTGCATACATCTCATTGGCCAGAACTGTGTCACATGGCAACTCCTACCTACAAAGTAATCTAGGGAAGAGTGGGCACATTGCTGCCCCAAACAAAACTGAAATTTTTTGAGTAATGAAGAAGGACGGTGGGTATGGGGAAGCAGTTAGCATCTGCCCCACATGTATGTATCTCTGATGGCTTGGTGTGGGCAAATGACACTAGAGTAATATAAAGTCTTGTGTCGTTTCTTCCTATACATACTAGAATTGACCTGGAAATTAATGAACAACCGAATTAGGGTGTGGTCATTCATTTCTTGTATCAACAGATCTAATCATAGTAAGCCAGCGCAAAATTAAGACAGTCTGTCGCTGGAATGTTTACAGATCCCTAATAGACTAGTGCCTTAGGATGAATGTTTGAATCTTCAAACCTTCCCTAAGCCTTTACTTATCCCCAGCCTAACCAAGACCTCTCACAGTTCAGCAGAAAGTCTTTTAATCTTTGTGGCCTTAGGACAGTTTTAGGGCATTCAGTAAGTATTTCTAAATTGAACAAATGAATGCGACAAAAAACAGAAAGATGTAAAGGGAGGAGGCTGCATTTGAGTTATCTTTGGTAAATCACTTTTTGACAGGAATCTTTGATCCTAAATTTAGTATTTCTTTGGTTGTACCAGCAGTATTTGTTTATTTCTCCCAACACCCCTCATTGCTTTTTTTGTTCCCTCTGCTTAGTCCTTCAGCTCTCTTTCTCTAGTATTGCCTTTTAGCCGTATGGTGACCAAGTCTTCAGGTAGTCTGTTTGAGATCCCATTGTTCAATTTATCTGTTTTCTTTTGGTGCTGGTGCTTTTGATGTTTCTGTATGTATTTTTAAAAAAATCATTGCCAAATCCAATGTCATGAATTTTTTTCTTCTGTGTTTTTTTTAAGGAGTTTTATAGTTTTAGCTCTTACATTTAGAGCTAGAATTTTGGGTTACTTTTTGTATACGGTGTAAAGTAAGGGTCCAACTTCATTCTTTTGCATGTGGATGTCCAGTATTCCCAGCACCATTTGTTGAAAAGACTATCCTTTCCCCATCAAATGGTCTCAGCACCCATGTCAAAAATCAAACCATGTATGCAAGGATGTATTTCTGGGCTCTCAATTCTATTCCATTGGTCTATGTCTGTCTGTATGCCAATGGAACACTGATTATTATAGCTTTGTAATAAATTTTGAAGTTGCGTAGTGTGAGAGCTCCAGTCTTCTTTTTCAAGATTGTTTTGGTTATTCAGAGTCTCTTGAGATTGCATATGGATTTGTCTATTTTTGCAGAAAAGTTCCATTGGGATTTTGACAGGGATTGCATTAAATCTGTACATTGCTCTGGGTAGTATTAACATTTTTACAGTATCCAGTCTTCCAATCCATGAACATGATATGTCTTTCCATTTAGCTGTATCTTCTTTAATGTCTCAGCAACATTTTGTACTTGTCAGTGTATAAGACTTTCACCTCTTTGGTTAAGTTTATTCCTAAGTTTTTTCTTTCTTTTTGATGTTATTATAAATGGAATTGGTACACAGAAGCACAACTGATTTTTGTGTTGTCTGTGAACTCTTAGAAGGCAGGAACCATGCCTTGTTTATGTTTTGCCGAGTTAATACAAAAGTAATAATGGCATTTATTAATATTTGTTTATGTATTTTTATTTTTTATTAGCAATAATCTTTGTCTTTTTTTTTTTTCCTTTTCTTTTTTCTGCTTTAGGGCTCTACTAGCTCAACAACAGCTTCTCCTCCAGTCTCCACCCCTGTCACAGGACATAAGAGAATGGTCATACCAAACCAGCCCCCTCTGACGGCAACAAAAAAGTCTACATTGAAGCCACAGCCTGTACCCCAGGCTGGACCCATCCCCGTGGCTCCAATTGGAACACTAAAACCCCAGCCTCAGCCCGTCCCAGCCTCCTACACTACGGCATCTACCCCTTCAAGGCCTACCTTCAACGTGCAGGTGAAGTCAGCCCAGCCCAGCTCTCATTACATGGCTGCCCCTTCACCAGGACAATTTTATGGCACAGGACCAGGGGCCCAGGGCTATAACACTCAACCAGTTCCTATCGCTGGGCAGGGTCCACCTCCTTCTACACGGGGAGGCATGGATTATGCGTATATCCCACCACCAGGACTTCAGCCTGAGCCTGGGTATGGGTATGCCCCCAACCAAGGACGTTATTATGAACCCTATTGTGCAGCAGGGCCTGGCTATGGGGGCAAAAATGACTCTGATCCTGCCTATGGTCAACAAGGTCACCCAAATACCTGGAAGCGGGAACAAGGCTATACTCCTTTTGGCACCGGGAACCAGAACCCTGCTGGGATGTATCCAGTTGCTGGTCCCAAGAAGACCTATATCACAGATCCTGTTTCAGCCCCCTGTGCACCACCACTGCAACAAAAGGTAGGGAACTCATTAATATAGTGATGGGAATAAGGGGGTACCTATCTTGGTCTGCCTTCCCCAGGAAGCAGAGCCTAAGGCAGAGGTATATGTGCTACTTTTATTTCATTAGAAAGTACAATCTGAAGGAAGTGCATGAGCGAAGCAGGAAAATGGGGAGATCCTATTTGGGGGTATGGGGGTGTGTTACCAATATGGCTTCCGTTTAGTATCAAGTACAACTAATTTTTCAATCTTGAAGGAACATCTTCCAAAAGACCATATGAACCATAGCAGCTCAGGACAATCTGTTCGGGGAGAGGAAGGGAAAATAATTTATCTTCCAGCTCCTTTCCTGTTGGTCAGAGCTTCCTTCTGTGGGTCATAGACTTCCTCACAGTTAGATGTTGCATTTACTTGGTCACTAAATAGATCTGAAGTATCTGATGCCTCAGCAGGGACAGGGAATCCCCACATGTGGAGGTGAGAGGTGCTCAGGGCAGTATGAGATGAGCTGATGACAGGTTGGGCTCATGTGAAGGTGGTCAGAACCCAAGCAAACTTGGTACCATAGTGACTGCTGGGGAAGAACAAGTGGACAAGGGCCCAGGAGACAGGTGAGGCTAAGGAGATCTAAGGTAATGCAGATACCTTGTCTAGTTTTCTTTGGGAAGGGGCTGTAGTAGAATGGCACTTGTGTACTACCCCTTGTTTATCTACATTAATGATTCTCCAAGAAGAATATTACTCTCCAACCATTAACCCTATTAGGCAACTTAAAAAAATTCTTTATGACAGTTATCTTTTTTGTTGTTTGATTTAATTTCAAGCATGTATGTGTTTTAAGTCAACATGTTCAATTACTTCCTGTGAATAGGCAAGATATAATACTATACACACCTACTCACCTACAACTTGGAGTTTTCATGTGTCCTTGAACCAACATGATGATGTTTCCTCCCCCCATGAAAAGAGGAACCAAGGAGAGTTACTTGGAAGGAGATAGATGGAGAAACCAACCTAGTTTCCAGCCATTGTGTTAGAACCGAGCATTCCCTTCCCCGTAGTAAGAACTGTAAGAAATCAGAAACTGGAGAGCCCTTGATTATCGAGAAGTTCAATGATAAATTGGGAGGATGTACTGGGTGGAAGTTTGGACTATATGTTTGTTTTTTTTTAATCCTTTACACAGTTGAGATTGTCCATTTCCAGGCATATCCATTCACATTTTCAACATTGTAACAGAATTTAGTGAGGTCCTTACTTTCTGGATAGGGAGTTTACTAAATCACTGTTCTCACATGAAAGCATCTGCTCTGATAATGATGCACATGGAATTTAGGTTCCTTAGAGGAAAGAGCCCTTCCCAGCAAGTGGGGCCTGTGGGTAGCTGGAGACATCCATCAACCTTATGATGACCGATTACCTGAAAGTGGACCAAGCCATGATCATCTTCCAACATAAAGATTTCAAGTGAAAATGTTAAGTGTTTTTGAAACATTACTCTTGGAAGGACTTTCTTTCCAAAAATCTCTGTATGAAAAGAAATGTTATTGAGGGTTTTTTGTTTTGTTTTGTTTTTAAAATAAATATTGCCCAAAATAGCCAAGCTGGACAACCTTGCCCTTCGTTAACATTGCAGTATATTTGCATTCGTCCATCCTGACCCCAGAGCAACCGGTTCAGAAGAAAATGGGGTTATTCAACTTTACCTCACTTTGGTACAATTGCAACAAATTCCCCTACAGAAGATTAAAAATTCAGGTTGGGACAATGGCCATCAACATTGAAGTTCCAATAGGTATGCAGTTTTGCCCTGTCCAAAGCAGCCTGACTGTGATAGGATGGCTGAGTGATGTTCCTAAGAGCAGGAGATGGGGCCCTGAGTTATTTAAGGATCCTATTACCCCACCTGGTGAAACAGACATGAGACAGAGCAAAAGTATGTCTAGGTGGAGAGAATGATCTGGTGAAGTACAAAGCCAATCTTTGAGTTTCCTGATTTCCCATCATGTCACTGGGCCCTCTGGAACCAATCCAGTAGTGTAAACAAAAGGATCAGCACACGCTGCAAGGCCTGGTTCTAAGATGTTAGGTCCAGAAACATCACTAGTATTTGGTCTGTTTTCATCAGCTTACTTGGGGTGACAGAATGAACTTTTATTAACCCCTCTCCAGAAAGCATGAAACTTTATTTTCCTTCTTATTGCAGTAAAAGAATGATTCAGGATGATCTATTACCTTGTTAAGGATTCTGGACGTCAGTGGATTTCATGTCATTTAAAAAAAAATTCGGAAATATTTGTTTTTCAACAGTGTCATGTGTTTTAACATCATGTTGTGCATTTAAAAAATGAAAATCAAATCATGTACTTTTTGCTGTGATTATTAAGGAGAGTGGTTAGAGATTGATATTTAGCCATCTGTCTTTGTTTTGGGAAAGGGGAAAGAGGCTGGTGAAGCTACAGATATCGTCTGTGTGTGCTGTGGGAGCATTGGTGGATGAAGGGGTGGGCTCTTTCACAGTTGGTCTTTGAGCAGAATACGACTGTATTCAACTGCACCTGTGCACAGAGCACCTTATTGTCTCAAGTATTAACTTTGCTTGGCTTAGCGATGTGACTCCTGGCTTGAGAAGTGAGCTCCTGATTCGAATCCCAGTTCCTCCCTTGATATTCTTTCAGCTTGAGGAAAAGCCTCTAGACCTCTTTATGTCCTGCTCCCAGCCTCAGTAAAGTGGAATGTCATCCTCACTAATTAATTAATGATTGCAAAAGGCTTGGAAATCTCCAAGGGCTGAATAATTACCAAGTGAGGACTATTCAGCGTTTTCACTGGCTTTCATTTATTTCCAATTTTTTAGGCACTGATGGAAAGCATACCTCGGTGCCTTAAAACAATTACCTTTTGTTGCGTTGAGAAGTTCTTAGGAGTTTGGCATTTAACCCATTAAGGAAAACATTTTCAAAAAATGAAAGAAAGAAATCTCCTTTAGATTTGAGATAAGCTGCTTTAATTTTTCCACGCCATGGTGTGACATAGAAGAAGAAGTAGAAGAAGGGAAGGAGAAAGTAGGAAAGAAAAGGAAAAAAAAAAAGAAAAAAGAAAGGAAGAAAAGAATGAAGAAAGGAAGGAGACCAAATCAGAACCTACAAGCCTTGGGGGATCGTGATTATATTTGTGTTTCCATAATGTGCTGAGCACTGAATTTGCTTGCTACAGTAGGCCATAATGTGTTTCCTGGACCATGTGAGCTGAGTTCCTTGAAAAATATTTTTATAAGCAAGTCTTTATAAGAGAGAAATGTTCTCTTCTCACTGGAAATCCTCTTAAAGACACAGTGGAATCTCTTCTCTTTGCCATTTTATAAAAGCTGATATCTGCTGGTTGTTCACAGAAGTTTTGTCCTGTGTGTTATCCTCACATTCCCGTGAGGAAGGATGTGTATTTTCTCCAATATTCAGGTAAGATGAGTCAGCTTGAAAGCCCCAGAGCCAGGACCTAGAGGCAGTCATCACTTTCAGGTCCACAGTGGCAGGTAGCTTTAGCTTCCACTTCCTTGTCATAAACCTAATCTATGGCAGCCTCGGCTCTGTTGCAGAGACAGGTATTTCCTCTGCAATATGTTAAGAGTGCTCGTGCTGTGCATCTCTGGAAAGCTGTGGAGACCCAACTAGTGGGGGTGGGGGTAAGTTATATTCTAAAACCATCTATTAAGATTTCCTTGGAAAAATCCTTCAGGAGAGTGAGAACTTGGAGATCAACCAATCACCTTTCAATAAATCCAACACCAAGTTTATCTTATCCAGAGTCAGAACAGATTCCTACTGTTCATTTAGTGTTTGAATCTGGGGATATTTAATGCGTCAGAGAGGAGAGTGAAGGTAGTGAACTACCAGGGTCAGTGTTTACGGATCCCCAAGACCTGGGAATTGTTGAGATTAAGAAAATATTTGAGAATGTTGATACAGTAGCATTTCAGATATTCAAGTAATATCAAAATATTTAAATCTCATTTCATTGTGGTCTTTTCCACAGTGAAATGGAGGTTGTATATATTGGGTGTCCTGCAAGAATTGGTGGCATTTGGGAGCAAACTATCTTTATGGTAATCCCTATGCTAATCTCTCAATTCCAGGATCAGAGAAACAAAAAAGAAGTGTTAGTTTGGGTGGGGAGAAGGATAGATGTGGATATAGGCCTCCAGTCAGGTGCTAATAACACCTAGGTCTGTATAAAGCTGAGGATGGAAGAGATTGCTTGAGGAGGACAGTGACCGTAATATTAGTAATTCCCCTTTGCACAGGGTTTTTCAGTTTCCAAAATGCTTTGAGGACCTCACAAAAAACATAAGCGATAAGCCCAGGTAGAGGATTTTGTCTCTCTTTTACTGATCGGGGTTCAAAAGCTCAATAATGAGAGTCACTCACCTAAGGTCATATGTCAGAGTCGTGGGTGAGCCATGATTCCAAATCAGGTTTTCAGAAGGTTTGTCCTCATGCTTTCCACCTGGTGAACGATGGATGTTGGTTTGCTGTTTGGATGGGGGGAACACCACGTCAGCACTGGCAGCCACTGAGCGTGGCTCCGCCATGGCCCACATCACAGGCAGACATGTCGATAGGCTCAGGCAGTTGCGGTGCTGTGTCCTGAGATCAACAGCTTCAGCGGAAGCACCGTTAGATCCCTGCTGGGCACCCAGGCTCAGCACCGTGGAGCTATGCTTCCTCTTTCCCATCACTATGTACAATTTATTCCAGTGTTTCTGCGTTCACAGTATCTCAAATCTGTTTTCTTACTGAAGCGCCCTTTGCTACTGTCCTGGTTCAGTTGTCCCCGTTTCTCACCTGAGCCATTGAAATGGCCCTTTATTGGGTGTCCCCACCTCTAGTCACTCCACACCTGTTCATCCTACACATGCTATCAGATTAACCTTTCTACCCCACAGCTCTGCGCTCGTCACTAATTACCTTTTCTCAAAAACCTTCAGGAGTCCCCTCCCAGTTATGGAATGAATTGAA